GTCTGGTATGCGATCGGTCACGTTCGGTTGCACATGGCACATCTGACCGCAATCTAATATGCATTGATGATGTGCTCTATAATTAATTTTTGTTAGTTTGCCTAAAGTTATGAGCCCTTTGTTAACTGCCGCCTTATATCTAATATGTATATGTATGTATCAATGGGTGGAATATCTAGCAAAGTTTCCAGAGCTTTGGATGACATAACACTCATGGTACCACTTATACTAAAGCATCATGTAAACTGAACTCCCTTCAATTTGTGTTTCTGGGAAGTTGGCTTAGTAGTTTGATATTACACATTTTGTCCAAAGAAGTCCACATTATTGAAGCATAAACAAGAAATTTGGATACTTTCCCCTTAGAAGCAATAAGACATCGTCTGCATAGCAGAATCGTGGTTACCCAGAGTAAAAGGAACAAAATGCCACCCACCCTGTGGTATACCGCGATTTACCCTGATAGTTATATCGTATCGTTGATCCAGTTACGGAGCACCCGGTCAACTGGTCTAAAGATTGGATAAGAGTATCAGTGTGCGAAACTCCCTATTGCCTTGTATTCTTATAATTACAATTGCAGCAAAACAACTTCCCAGAAACATAAATTACTGCTAAAAAATCCTATTCCTGGAGAGTTATAATATGTACTTTAAATTATTTCCAAAAATGAATAATAATTATTCAAAAATCACTTATTTATTAAAAGACTAAACCAGTTCCATTAAATACAAAACATTTCATGCAAAATTTATTAAATATGAATGCATTAATTTCAGACTGACGTAAACACACCTGTTGTATCTACAGACAAATTGGCAGCTATCGAATCAAAAAAGAAATAAATTATTTTCGGAACTTAAACAATACAAAGTTGGTTCCGGCTGTGATAAAAGAAATCCAGAAAACAAATAAAAACTCCTACATAAAATGCAATATTTAAATTTAGTTTAATTAATAGAGACACAAAACTAATCTAATAACGAAAGTTGCAGGGTGACATTTTAGAGATTCCTATCACAAAATAAAAAACAACCTCTCTATTCGAGGCCAATGTGAACACATGTTGTCTAGTTGTTGTTAGTTGGAACCACTCATAATTAATTGGCTACAAGCGGTATTAGCAAAATTTATTTGCTAAACCATAAAAACTTTAATAAATTAAAGCAATATGCAAAAATTTTGTTGGCAAACTTTTAAAACCTAAATAAAAAAGAATTTTTAACTTTTTTTTTTTTGATATTGAAGATTAAACATCTACTGATTTTAATAAGATTTAAATTAATTTCAGTTGTTCGTCTTTATTAATGGCAAATATTTGTCTCATTTTTAATTGCTTATAATAGCAATAACAATTTCTTTATCTTTATCTTCACCTTTTTCAAACAGGAAGTTTTATTGAGCTTAATATCTGATAACTGAACTAGTTGAATTTGTTAATCTGGAATTTCGCAAACAAAAAGAGAAAAAGTATAAAAAATTAATTAATATTAGTTTTATAGATTAAATATTAATGAATTGTTTAAAGCAAATGACATTTAAAAAGTCAAAACCTGCAAGATCTTGTGTTGCCGATAAAAATGTCATAAAATGGTTTATGATAATCAAAAGCGAAGGAAGATGAAGATTCCGATAGTAAGATAAGATAAACTGACCCATTTTTGTCTGTGTTTTTATTTAAATAAAAGTTATGATATCTAGGTTTTGAAAAAAAGTTGGGTACTCGTTACCCGATTTCTATATAATAGCTAATTAATTTATTAGTTCTAGATAAGTTATATTTATACTTCATTTAACCATTAAATATTTCTGATCCCAATTTTTCTTTTCTTGGACCAGATCTCAGATTATTATCCATACAAATCTGACCATATTGAAGACGTTATATCATCTCAAGCTATCTTAAAGAAAGAAGAAGATACAGCAAAGGTTAAAACTTTATTTTAAAGTGGAAAGAATAGACTTTCAGATAAAATAACATATTTTATAAATATAGGTGTCTTCTCGGCATTATAACGTCTCAAATAAAAACTTTTTTAAACCTTGATGTGATGGAGAAATTTTGAGAAATTCAGATACGTGTACAGCTTGATTCTATAGAAAAGTATACGTTGTTAAAAGCACTACTTCAGGTTCATCGTTTGAAGAAATCTGTTTTTCGTATCAGTTTGTATTTCATATCCAAACTAGCTCATGAATGCGAAGAATCCATAGATGAGTTGGAGAGGCATTCGATCACAACCCTGTTATATGTTAAGGGGTACAAAGCTTAGACCGATTTTAAACGGATTTCATCTTACTGTTTGTGGTCTTAACCAGACTTTGGCAAAGAATGGACTTGATTGGATGTGCCTATCTTCTGGTTCTAAATCGATCTCAGCTATGGGTTACAACTTCTGCTGATATTTTGTTTTTGTATTTAGTTTTTATTTCGTCCATAAAATGCTCATTTAAAAGGACTTGCTTGAAACCTTAACTACCCAGCAAAAACTCGGTAAGGACTTGTACTTACACAACAATTTACTTTTCAATGACTACTACATTCTGTCTGCTTTTAAGTTATCTAATAATGACTTACTTATAGTAAGTACTCTATGTATTTTGTATTTTGCCGCGTTATTTGCACATTTTATATGATCACAGAAAATAGTTTTTCTGTGTGAAAAGCATTACCAACTAATAACTAACCTGTGACGTTGTAAGTAAGACTGCGATCTAGCGAACAAGAGGCCCAGGTTCGTATTCTGTGTGAGCAATTTTATCTGTGTTTAAAACAAATCTACTTTTTAACTGGCCTCCGGTAGGTTAGTAGTTAGTGATATAGTCTGGTAGACCGGAGGTGGTGAGTTCGATTCCCACCTGAGGCACTGGTTAAGGAGCCCTAGGTGTATTTCTTTAGATTTAATGTATATACATCCTCCTTTCAAACAAACAAACAAACAAACTAACTAACGAACTAACTAACTAACTAACTAACTAACTAACTAACTAACTAACAACTAACTAACTAACGAACTAACTAACTAACTAACTAACTAACTAACTAACTAACTAACTAACTAACTAACTAACTAACTAACTAACTAACTAACTAACTAACTAACTAACTAACTAACTAACTAACTAACTAACTAACTAACTAACTACTAACTAACTACTAACTAACTAACTAACTAACTACTAACTAACTAACTAACTAACTAACTAACTAACTAACTAACAAACTAACTAACTACTAACTTACTAACTTACTAACTTACTAACTTACTAACTAACTAACTACCTAACTACCTTACTAACTAACTCCTCATTACAAGTTTTTGCTGGATACTTACAACCTACAATGTTATCATTAGTACCAAAACTTCTTAAAGTTTGCTTTTGATCTAACGAAAATTTTTGCATATGTTTTCTAAATTTCCTTGTATTTTATTTTATTTATATTATTGAAAAATAATATATTTAATTGTATAAAAAATAAATTTTATTTCACGGATCAATATTTTAATTATGTAAATATTTCACACATTTTTATCGAAATTGTTAAACATATTTAATTAAGCATTAATCTGTTCCATGCCCTCTACTAACTCTATACAGTTGATACCGGATTTTGTTAGAAATGAAGACCTGTCTTCTAATGCTTGAAACTTGCCATAAGAAATATTTGAATTTATTCAATAGTTTTTATATGAAATTTTATTTAATTATACTCACTATAATAAAGTGGTAGATATACTTTGTTCTTTAGGCAGATTTGAAATTAAAGCAGTTTTGATTTTGCGAAATATTATGATAGTAAAATATAGGTTAGAAAATGTAGGAGTTATGGCTAAATAAATTAGTTTCTCGAGGAAATTTTATGAGACAAAACATTTCTATATAGACAGATCTTTAATAACAGTTAACCTACTTAACATTTTCCTTAGTTCGATCGTTAGCTTCAAATCCCTATTAAGGACATACAGACGATTTTTACCTTTGTTTTCGGCCAGAGTTTCATGGTCATATTTATAAAAAGTTTTCTTTTAAAATACATAAATTCTTTTTAGACATTTCATAAAAAATGTTTTCGTAATTTGATTCCTTATGATCCTTTTTATTCCTTGATCTTTACCGATTTTCAACATCAGATTGCATGACTATTTTTTTTTTGCAAAAACTTTGCGATTATTTCTGTATGTCCATTATGACGTATACTAAAGTTTATACAAATCGGAACACTTTCATAAAACGCTCATTCTGAATTCGTTTAAAAATCAAACTAATTTCTGTAACTTGTTTTATCTTATTATAATTATATATAACAAAGATATTAAATTTTATTAAATCTTTGTATGGATTTAACAAAAAAAAAAAAAACCATCACAATATAAATTTTAATATTTAATGAAAAATTTATTAGTTTTTATTAAAAGATTTAAAAAAAAAAGAAAAAACAACCTGTTTTTGGAAACAACTCTGACAAATTCCTCTACTAAATATTTAAATTACAAAGAAAGAAAAAAAAATACGAAATCAAAGTCATTGAACTTTTATGAATAAAAAGATGAAATGAAAATGTAGTTCTCTCTTTTAGACAAAAAAAAAAAAGTTATGAATATTTTTCAAAAGAAATACTTATTTACCATAAGAATCTTATACAGCAACACTCAGCTTACTTAAATATTTATTAGTTATAATAAAATATGTTAATTAAATTATTAAAATCTATGTAATTAACAACAAAAAATATGAGTTTTTTTGAAAAAAAAAAAAAAAAAAAAAAACCTAAATGGAATTTGTATAAAATTTGTGTAAAAAAAGTGTAAAATTATCTGCTATGTAAATTAAGTAAAAAGTAGAAACTTTTCTTAAAGAAACTAAATTATTTGCTTTACTTTTAAGCCCTGAACCTGAACACACCACTAACAAATTAACACTTTATATGCAAATTTATTTTCATATGTAAATTTATATTTTGTTTTAACTCTTTAATTTTATTTTGGTTTTACTTACAGGTTTATGCTAATTTAGACATTGCAACCGCTAAAGCCACCAAAGAAGAACAATCAAGAGCCAAACATCATCTTTTAGATGTGGCAACACCAAATGAACCATTTACAGTGGTGCATTTTCGCAATAAAGCTTTGCCAATTGTATCCTTTTTCTAAATTATATCATATTGAAATTATTTGTAATGGAATCACAGTAAGTTTTGTGTTTGTACAATTTGAATTCCGACAAGAATCTCTGTATTGCTAATGGTATGGATTGTAGATCTTTAAATTCATAGTCAGTCATGTAATCTATGCCATAGCCTGTAATCTTGGCTTTTAGTCTAGTCTTTAGTTTCTACTATAATCTGGTTTAAATCTTACCTATACTGCAGTCTAGTCTATAGTCTAGTCTATAGTCTAGTCTATAGTCTAGTCTATAGTCTAGTCTATAGTCTAGTCTATAGTCTAGTCTATAGTCTAGTCTATAGTCTAGTCTATAGTCTAGTCTATAGTCTAGTCTATAGTCTAGTCTATAGTCTAGTCTATAGTCTAGTCTATAGTCTAGTCTATAGTCTAGTCTATAGTCTAGTCTATAGTCTAGTCTATAGTCTAGTCTATAGTCTAGTCTATAGTCTAGTCTATAGTCTAGTCTATAGTCTAGTCTATAGTCTAGTCTATAGTCTAGTCTATAGTCTAGTCTATAGTCTAGTCTATAGTCTAGTCTATAGTCTAGTCTATAGTCTAGTCTATAGTCTAGTCTATAGTCTAGTCTATAGTCTAGTCTATAGTCTAGTCTATAGTCTAGTCTATAGTCTAGTCTATAGTCTAGTCTATAGTCTAGTCTATAGTCTAGTCTATAGTCTAGTCTATAGTCTAGTCTATAGTCTAGTCTATAGTCTAGTCTATAGTCTAGTCTATAGTCTAGTCTATAGTCTAGTCTATAGTCTAGTCTAGTACTATAGTCTAGTCTATAGTCTAGTCTATAGTCTAGTTCTATAGTCTAGTCTATAGTCTAGTCTAATAGTTAGTCTATAGTCTAGTCTATAGTCTAGTCTATAGTCTAGTCTATAGTCTAGTCTATAGTCTAGTCTATAGTCTAGTCTATAGTCTAGTCTATAGTCTAGTCTATAGTCTAGTCTATAGTCTAGTCATATAGTCTAGTCTATAGTCTAGTTAGTCTATAGTCTAGTCTATAGTTAGTCTATAGTCTAGTCTATAGTCTAGTCTATAGTCTAGTCTATAGTCTAGTCTATAGTCTAGTCTATAGTTTAGTCTATAGTCTAGTCTATAGTCTAGTCTATAGTCTAGTCATAGTCTAGTCTATAGTCTAGTCTATAGTCTAGTCTATAGTCTAGTCTATAGTCTAGTCTATAGTCTAGTCTATTGTCTAGTCTATAGTTCTAGTCTATAGTCTAGTTAGTCTATAGTCTAGTCTATAGTCTAGTCTATAGTGTAGTCTATAGTCTAGTTTATAGTCTAGTCTATAGTCTAGTCTATAGTCTAGTCTATAGTCTAGTCTATAGTCTAGTCTATAGTCTAGTCTATAGTCTAGTCTATAGTCTAGTCTATAGTCTAGTCTATAGTCTAGTCTATAGTCTAGTCTATAGTCTAGTCTATAGTCTAGTCTATAGTGTAGTCTATATTCTAGTCTATAGTCTAGTCTATAGTCTAGTCTATAGTCTAGTCTATAGTCTAGCCTATAGTCTAGTCTATAGTCTAGTCTATAGACTAGACTATAGACTAGTCTAGGGGAAGAAGATACCGGTGGCAGACAAAGTTGAGTACTTAGGTGTAATTCTCGATCAGAAATTAAAATGGGGGAACCACTTATAGAGTAGGATCAACAAGGCACATCGGTGCTGGACGATATGTAGGAGAACTAAAGGCATGAAATGGGTTCTTAGTCCTACTATGACAAATTGGCTTTATAAAAGTGTATTTAGCAGCGTACATGCTGCTAGGGTATAATTGGTGCCATGTGTACTACTTCAACCAAGGCTCTGGAAACGTTGCTAAATATCCACCCATTGAAACATATTTAAGATATGAGGCGGCGGAAGGAAGGAAGGTTATACTCAATCATCGGACGCGCCTGATCGCATACCAGACACAGAATATGTCCGAAACTTTGAAACGCTGAGCCCAGATAGAATGTCTTGGTCCAGCGGAACATTAGAGCAAATACCGTTGTTATACGGATGGCTCTAAATTGGGGGACAAAGTAGGGCTGGGATTCTATATTGAAGACCCAGAAACAGAAATGTACCACCGGTTACCAAATTATAACACAAGCTTCCAGGCAGAAGTTCGAGCAATAAAGGAATTCGTAAATTGGATGAGAATAAATATGGCGCCCACAGCGCTTAATATATTTACCGACAGACAGAAGGCAATTAGGGCGATATCAGGGATAAAATTGAATGTAAGACCGTATCGGATTGTAAGAAAGCTTTAACTGAATACTCTCCCAGAGGTAAGGTTTACATCATATGGGTACCAGCCCACTCGGGGGTAGTCGGCAACGAAAGGGCGAATGTAATAGCTTTTAAAGGGAAGGGAGCTCGAGGCAGTTAACCTGACAAACGCAAAACCATTCGACGCAACAAAAGCTGAACTAAAAATATGGGCGAGAAAATGCTATAAGGCCTCTTGGAGTAATGAAACGGTGAGTGGAACCACAAAGATCCTATGGGGTGACCCTGATGAGAGCAAGACGAAAAGCAAGTGTGAAGTTAGTATGATGGTTCGTATTCTGAGTGGACACACAGCACATTTATGCAAAATAGGATGTGCGGATTCAGACGAATGTAGAGCATGTGGAGAGGACAGTGAAACTCTGGAGCACTATCTTTGCCACTGTCAGGCATTCGTCGAAGTTAAATCCCAGTATCTTGGAAGTGATGTTATTCCGGAAATAACATTCCTGACTAACACTGATTTTAAGATTCTTAGGAATTACAGCCAGGAAACTGAGTTTCTTAACACTGAAAAATAATTCATTCAGTGCAAATTTTTTTTTATGGAAAGGAGCGCACAACAGGCCCGATAGTGGCCTAGGTGTATTTCTTTGGATTTGATGTAGTATACAACCTCCTATAAACCTAACCTATCCTAGTGGATCTCATTTTCTATTTTCCTAGAAATTTCTTTAATAAACCCATTGGCCACCAAGTCTAACACTAGACTCTAAAATATCAACTGATATTTAAATTTCCTATAAAAACATTTATCAATGAAATTTTCTAGTTCATTGACTGCATTAAATTTACTGGCGCCTGTAATTGACTTAACTTACTTCAAGTTCACTTCAACTTCCCAATAACATTTATGTTTAATAACTAACAGTCAAACTGTAACTGACTGCCAAATATTGACTTTAAATTTCCATAAAAATCTATAGATTTAATTTATTTAATAACAAAAAACAACAAAATTACAAACAGCAACCACATCAAAAATTTATACTTTCCTTATCACTACTTACTGTCGTTTTGACTTCCTTTAACGGAAACTGTATGATTGACATTTTTGGGGGGGTTTTAAATGTGTTACAATTCCTTTACCCCGCTAACAATTAAAATTCATTCAGTCGTTCGTTCAAAATTCATATGTTTTGTGGTGGCAATATTCCTTTAGCCACCCCTTCTCTTCACCGAAGCATATGAATGGAGTATTTGTTTATATGTATAAATGCAAGTTTTAGGGTATGAATGACTTCCATTGGATGCCTGTTTAACTGACTGACTGCTCTATATGACATTTTATTTATTTACTACTCATAATTCTCATAAATTACCACAAAAATCACACAAATAATAAAAAAAAGAGCGAACGTATGCAAATAAACATTAAGGGACTCATATACCAAGCAGTATTAGTCTGATACCGAATTTTTTTTTGAAAAGACCAAGTTCCAGAAATTTGCTTCATTGCAGTCAAACAAATATTGTGGCCAAATTTTGGAGCCAGACTACTATAGTAGTATCCGTCTGTCCTGCAATTTATCTTTGGGGTAATTGCCGGTCTTTTTGTCTGTCCATACATACATTTGTCCTTCTGGCCTATGCGTCACTGTGTCTGTCTGTTTAGTTCCTATGAAACATAAACATGATTGACATATGCAAATAACAAATAATAGCAAACAACAACAAAATAAACAAAGAGAAAAAAAATAGCAACAATAATAAGTAATCATAATGATAAACATAATAAATACACATGTGAATACAAATATTTTATTTATTTTATTCGTATTTTCTATATAAAAACCATAAAACTTACATACTTATCTACATTAGGGTACATAATGAAAATTTTCACATTCTGAGTCGAATTATTGTAACACATGATAATTAGGATGTTAGCAGATCCTTGACCTGGCTTTGAGACTAGTCTATAGGCTAGCCAATACTTTATTCTATAGACTGGCCAATATTCTAGTCTACAGACTTAGCATACATTTACTCAAAAGGCTTATGTATAGGGCTAGGCTATAAACTAGCCCAGACTATAGCCTTGCTTATAATCTAGGACTGGCTTATAGTCCTGACTATAAGCTGGTCTATATTCCAGAGTCTAGACTATAGACTGGTCTATAGTCCAGTGTCTACACTATAGACTGGTCTATAGTCCAGTGTCTACACTATAGACTGGTCTATAGTCCAGAGTCTAGACTATAGACTGGTCTATACTCCAGAGTCTAGACTATAGACTGGTCTATAGTCCAGAGTCTAGACTATAGACTGGTCTATAGTCCGGAGTCTAGACTATAGACTGGTCTATAGTCCAGAGTCTAGACTATAGACTGGTCTATAGTCCAGAGTCGAGACTATAGACTGGTCTATAGTCCAGAGTCTAGACTATAGACTGGTCTATAGTCCAGAGTCTATACTATAGACTGGTCTATAGTCCAGAGTCTATAGTCCAGAGTCTAGACTATAGACTGGTCTATAGTCTAAACCATAGACTGACCTATAGTCTAGACCATAGACTGTCCTATAGTCTATGCTATAGACTGTAGTATAGTATATTCTATAAGCTGTCCTATAGTCTAGGCTATAGCTGTCGTACAGTATTTTCTACAGATGGGCCTGGCCTATAGTATAGGCTATGGACTGGCCTACAATCTGGCTATAGACTGACCCATAGTCTAGGCTATA